TTTCAAAGATGTTTTCTTTAAGTTCTTTAGTTTGTTTTAGTTTTTTTAATTCTTTTCTGAAGTTCTTAAAAAAATTTTTTTTTAGTGTTTATTCATTTTTGAGAGACAGAGACAGAGTGCGAGTGGGAAAGGGGCAGACAGAGAGGGAGACACAGAATTCAAAGCAGGCTCCAGGCTCTGAGCTGTCAGCACAGTGCCCAATACGGGGCTCGAACCCACAAACCATGAGATCATGGCCTGAACCGAAGTCGGGCGCTTATCCGACTGAGCCACCCAGGCACCCCTCTGAAGTTCTTTTAAAATTCTTTCTTAAACCCCCCTGTGAAAGGAAGCAGGCACGTCTTATTTTTCATATTTTAGAAGTTGAGAATTGAAGTCAAAGTTACACTATCCATCCCAGGTGTCACAGAAGGTGTTGGGGCGTGGCCCCAGTCAGGGCAGGCCTCCTGACATCCAGTTGGCTACCCTGCCCTTGTGTGGCAGCCCTCGTTGACAGAGTTAACCGGATATTGGCAGTGTCCTTCCTCACCTCCCTCCTACTCCCCTTCTCTGTACCTAGTTCCTGAGAGAGAACACGGGCACACTGGGCCCAGATGTACATTGCTTTCTTCACAGCAAGACTCCCATCCTGAATCACAACCTTCTTCCTCATTTTGGTAGCTACACTAAAAAATCTAGAGAGATTGTGGAGATTACTATTAGTTTTTTTTTCTTAATGTTTATTTTTGAGAGAGCACGCATGAGTGGGGAAGGGGCAGAGAAAGAGGGGGACAGAGGATCCAGAGTCTGATGTGGAGCTTGAACTCACAAACCACAAGATCATGACCTGAGCTCCTGAAGTTGGATGCTGAACCCACGGAGCTACCCAGGCGCCCTGAGGTTGCGATCAGTTTGCCAAAACTGTGCAAGAAACACTTGTGCTTCGTCCCTGCAAACGGGTATGGAAGGATATGGATATAAGGGATTGAGTTCTTGGTAATTGTTGTCAGAACCCAGTGTTTACCTTGACTACTACATATCACTTGCCTGGTGCTCTCATCTCCTTAATTGCCCCGATACCATGTCCCATTCACTATTGGGAGGTAGAAATGATAGTCATATAACTTGTCTACTCACAATTTAAAAATTGATACAATTTCTAGCAAAAATATAAAGGAGAAATAAAGGAAAGTAATCCATAGTAAGTAAAATGTATACCAGCAGGTGTGGACTTCAGTATGTACGTGGTCATTTAGTACTGGTGACTCAGATACCTGAAGTGGCATTGCTGCAATGACATGATTTTTTTTTTAATGTTTATTTCTTTATCTTGGGAGAGAGAGTGTGTGTGAACAGGGGAAAGGGAGAGAGAGAGAGAGCAAGAGAGAGAGAGAGAGAGAGAGAGAGAGAGAGAGAGAGAGAGAATCCCAAGCAGGCTCCATGCAGTCCGTGTAGAGCCCGATGCAGGGCTGAATCTCACAAATCGTGAGTTCATGACCTGAGCCAAAATCAAGAGTCTGATGATGCTTAACAGACTGAGCCACCCAGGCATCCCAATGACATGATTTTTTGAAATGATGAATGTCTATTAGTAAAATTCCAAAAAAAAAAAAAAAAAACAAAATGCAAAAAAATCCTACAAAATCTTTTTGATTTATGGGGTAGTTGTGGCAAATGTAATGTATATTAAAACTGTGTAAAATAATGGTGTTTATATATAAACATTGGAATGATCGAGGTTCTGATGGTTATAAGTTGACTTTTTTTGCCAATCTGAATGTCCAGTGGGATACTTGAAAGCAGTGCAGGACAGAATGGTGAGATTCAGGACAGTTGTTGGTTGTGCATTGTCCACCAGATGCCAAGGACGTCCTCTGAATTACTTTGACAATTGGAAAAAAATGCCTCCACAAAATTAGAATACACTTTCTAGATGGTGATGGCACTTGCATTGCAAATCTCTGCCTTAAACACTTCAGAAAGATGTAGAAACCTAAGGGATCCCAAGAGAACAAAGACTTCCCAACATTTCAGATCAGAAACTACTAGTGCTGTGATTTCATTGTCTCAAGAGCCTGGAGAGAGCAAGAGGGGAATGTCTACTCTATTTTTGCTGCAAGGCTGAGATAGGTTTTTTTGCCTTCCTCATGTCTTTGTTTGCCTGCACTATCTCTTCTCAGCATTCCTGGGGTGGAAATGTTTTGCACTCTCTCTGTTCTCTGTCCTTGGAGTTTGCCGGGGAGGCTTTCGAAATCTAGACTAGGTTCTGAAGGTGATGTGAAAAAGGGGTTTGAAAGTGTCTAAGAAAACTTCTTCCTTTATGTGGTAAATATACATAACATTCAGTTTACCCGATGAAAGGTTTTTTAATAGAAGTAATTTGTCACTTTGCAAATATATGGTTAAATTATTGTGGTATATACATAATGGTAACTATCTCCCTTGATCAGCTGGAAAGATAGAATTTTCTGTTAACTGTAGTATTTTAATCATAGGGCTTGTGAATTGTTTCACAGAATTAATCCTGGGGCACCTGGGTGGCTCAGTCAGTTAAGCGCCCGACTTCTGCTCAGGTTATGATCTCATGGTTTGTGGGTTCAAGACCTGTGTCGGGCTCTGTGCTGACAGCTCAGAGCCTGGAGCCTGTTTCCAATTCTGTATCTCCCTGTCTTTCTGTCTGTCCCTCCCCTGCTCATACTCGGTCTCTCCCTCTCAAAAATAAATAAACATTTAAAAAATTTAAACTTTGAAAAAAAAATTAATCCTTGGTAACAGTGGGAATCCACATGGAAGGAAATATTTACCTATTATTGTGTGATTTCAGGAGTTAGCAATTTTGCTTTCTCTTTTCTCTGAGGCAGCATTTTGGTGCTAGATGTGCCTCGGTTCACATTCTCCAGCTCTGCCACAGAGTGGCTTTGTGATCTAAAGCAAATGAATATCTCTGAGCTTTACTGTAAAAATGTCCTCATCAGTAATATGGCCACGCTGATATTTAATACAGTTATTGCAAAGGTTCCTGTAAAACATTTGACACAGTTTTGTTCTAGTACAAGTTCCTATGTATCCACATTTTTCATGGAGTATAACCACGGTGCAGATAAAATTTTTGTCTTTTTAACGAATTTTTTTTGAGTTTATTTATTTATTTTGAGAGAGAGCACGAGTGAGTGGGGGAGGGGCAGAGAGAGAGAGAATGGGTGCTGCAGCCCAGAGAGATCATGACCTGAGCTGAAACCAAGAGTTGGAATCTTAACTGACTGAGCCCCTCTGGGTACCCCTTTCTTTGTCTTCTTTTTTAACCTGACCTATTTCCATAGTGTAAACAATGTTTATAATTACTGTTTTGAAGTATTAAAAAGTATTATAGCATATAATGACATTTTGCCACGAAATATACTGTGGACATGATGTCCTTTCTGTGTATAATATGAACCTTAACCTTACCTGCTTATCTCAAGAAATAAAGCTCTTGAAAACCTCACTTCTTGCCATAACTGTTAGCAAAAGCAGGAGGAAACAACAGGCCTGAGTTGAGTCTGGGCAGTGGGCCCATCGTAGGCTTCCCAGGTGAGAGATGCACGTCCACAGACCACCCTTTAGTATGCCGTTTTGGAGGCCTTGACCTCCGGGCTGCACAGAAATGATCAGAACTATAAATATTAAATCTGAGAATACCAAAGATATACTGTGCTTCACTTCATAATGATTTCAGTGTAAATGAGCATTTTTCATTTTGTCTTCTCTTTTTTTTTCATTGTGAAAGTGATGCTGCTACATAGAAGTCTCCTGTCGACCAAGAAAGAATCCACTGAAGGTTTAAGCAGACAGACATTTATTTGGGCTAATTAGAATTGCAATTCAGGAAGCACAGATTCAGGGAGAAACCCGAATCCTAGGTTGTTGCTGGATCCAAGGAGCTCAAAGGACAGGGTCGAGTTATCAGTCAGAGGGCCAAGGGTATAGTTCTCGTTCAGGTCCTCTGTGCAGCACAGGGATTGAAACTAAATTACCTGGGATTGGTTGGGTTAATATGCAGATAAGGGGTTGAGCTTGTTCAACTGCATTGGCTCCTTTTGAAGTGCAGAGTGAGGTGAATTCTGGTGTCCCCATGAGGAGGAAGTTCACGCCCAGCTGAGGGCTTGCAGCTGGCTGAAAGGGTTTTTTTCCTTAAAGGTCATGGTTTTTCTGATGAGGTCGTGCATAGATTCCTCCTCCTCTGTGGCCCCCCAGCTCTGTTTTAAAAAGAGACTCTGTTAGCTAGGCTTGTTTCCTGTATTTTGAAATCTCCTTTTATAAGACATATTGATTTTTCTTTCCCTAGTAGTATTTCTGTTAGATAAATCTCTAAAAGTGGAGACACACAAACCCTGCATGGTCCTTGATGTGATTGCCAAGTTGTTTCCAAAGATACTATGTAGATTTACATAGAGATCCCTAGTCAAGTAGTTTCAGCCATCCAAAACTTGGGATTTTTTAAAATTTAAAGTGTTTTGTGGGAGACTAATTTAACAGGTGAAATTTTAATTTTAATTTCTTGGCTACTAGTGAATTTAAACATTTAATTTTCATATATTTGTGACACTTTCTTTTGCATTATTTATTCTTATTTTTCCTCTATTAACTTATGTAATAATATGTATAATAATATGTAATCATATTGTTTTGTTTTTTTCTTTTAGCTCCGGTAATAAACCGATTCACAAGGCGCGCCTCAGGTAAGCCAGCCTGTATTGTGATTTTACTTATTAATGGTGACATTTCGTAACTAATAATAGTGGTATTGGACAAGAAGATATGGTGGGAATAATTACTGTGGACTAATGATTTATTTGTCGGTCATTTTCCCTGAAAACAACCATGTGATGTAATCAAGAACTAGGAAATAATTGGAAATGGCCTCTCAGTGTTTAAACTTACAATCAGACGGTGCATTGGAGCTAATGCACCTTTTTTTTTTTTAAAGGAAATCCCAGTTTCTTTATTATTGACAACCATCAACTGGTTGTTGGAAGTAGGAGACTAAGTGAAACCTCATACCTGCCCAAGGGCTTTCTCCTGAGCCCCACCATACAAAGGAACGTCTCAAACCTATGCCCTTTCCTCCCAAACTCCAAAAATTAGGGGGATTATTCAAAACTATCTCCAATGAGTAAACTCAGTGGTTAAAGGTTTCTTCTGGGGACCAGTGACAAAGTTAGCCTTATTAATGAAGGCCACAGACCAAGCCAGAAATGCCTAAAGAAGTAAGGGTCCTTGAGGGAAAAATCCTAGTACAGACTCCATACCTAGGCATTTTCTGTTAGGTTTAATATAATCTAGGCAGACTGGGCAGGTCCACTAAGAGGAAGGATGAAAACACTGCCCGGTGGAGACATGTGAGTGGTGGACAGCAGCTGATACTCTGACCCAAGCTTGGAAGGCGGGCATTTCCTCCTCCATCATCAGAGATCTCTCCCTTCTTCCAGTGAAAGTTGGCCACAGCAGTGGAGGCCTTCCCAGAGGGTTCCTGTCAATTCCCTGAAAGCCTCCTTAAAATCAGAAGCAGCACCCTGCCTAACTGAGACAGAGCCAAAGGGAAAACATAAATAAAAGGCCCAGGCCTCAGGCAGGGCCTGTGGTTAAGGAAGGGGCAGGACCTCAAAGGTGAGGAAGCACTGACAAGGCAGGGATTCTATTTGTCCTTCTTGCTTTCCCGTCTGGCGCTTCGGTGGTGGTTGGGGCCACAGGCTGCTCCTCAGGGATGTGATCTCCAGCCTTTGATAGCTTCTTGGCCCGTTGATACAGCTCATTCAAATTGAATTCTTGGATCACATTCTCCTCAGAAGGTGCAAGAGACAGCTCATCCTTTTTTGTCAATCTGTGGCTGCCGCATGACCTCCTTGCCACCTTGGAACAGGATCAGAGTAGGGAGCTGCTTGGCGAGGGGCGACATGCTCACTTTGTACCGTGTACTAACATCAGTGTGGCGTCCAACGTCCACCTTCCCCAAATTTAGCCCTGTACAGTTGTACTTGAGGGAGAGGTAAGCATAGATAGGAGCAAACGACTGGCAGTCATTAGACCAATCGGCAAAGAACGCCACAATCTAGGTGACCCTCCTTTTCCACTCCAGCTCTTCATCAATGGTTTTGTCATTGAAGTACTTGATATACTCAGGGCCCATATCCGGCTGGGGGGGGGGGGGGCTTGCATGTCATCAGGAACACTATGCGAAGTGTGATGTAAAGCAGGCCCATACGAAAATCCAGACGGAAGAAAAGAATTGCATTGGCCACTTTACTAAACATGAAGTTGTTGCCTGTATGTTGCTCCACAGCGATAGATCTGTGGTTCTTCATCATCCTGGTGGCACTGAGGAACATCAGGATCTCTCCTCCTTTCCAGTCAGTCACACAGGTTGCCGTTTTCGCGTTGCGTGGGGAGACTCCCAATGCACCTTTTTAAATGGAGACCCTCACCCCAGTTTTATTCCTGCTCTTGATCAGTTATTGTCTACATGGTTAGCTGATGTACCAGCCACAGTTCAGAGGCAGTGATTTAGAAGATGGGTAAAGGACACCCTAGAAACAGTGGTGGATGAGAGTTTTTAAGAAGGGACAGGATAACTGAAAATACGGGTGGGAGAACTTGTCGTCCTGAGGCCATTTGGAATGGGAGCTAATTGCTTTACATTTGTTAATGCCCCTGAGGCTCTTGCTGTCTTAGAGATATCATAGGAACCGAATGCCTAGTCACAGTGATAGACCTTCGCCACTCACGAGTGCTTGAATTAGATTCTTGGTACGGTGCACTACCTGCATTGGTAGGGAATACTGGACATAGTTGAGAACATTTCTGTCCAAAATGGTTTAAGTAAAGTGAGTTTGGGCATTGAAGTGGATCAACTATTTGGAAAAGTTACTTCCATGGAGTGCCTTCTTCTCTGAAGACAAATGACACTGCTAGGTTTGATTTGAGAAAATTACTCTTTCTTTGAAATATGACTAGAATTTTTTTGTTGTTGTTGAAAAACATAAGGTAGATGTTTCAGACACATCATTTTTGACATTTACATAACACAGATGAGTAATTTATTTCATAAAATCACCTCATTTCCATCTGTGCTGTATCATTAAAGGTGTTTTAAGGTTAAGTTTTATTTTTTATCTCCTGGCAATTACTGGTACAATTTATTCTTTTTTTTTTGTTAATTTTTTTTTTAACGTTTATTTATTTTTGAGACAGAGAGAGACAGAGCATGAACGGGGGAGGGTCAGAGAGAGGGAAACACAGAATCTGGAACAGGCTCCAGGCTCTGAGCTGTCAGCACAGAGCCCGACGCGGGGCTCGAACTCACGGACCGCGAGATCATGACCTGAGCCGAAGTCGGCCGCCTAACCGACTGAGCCACCCAGGCGCCCCTGGTACAATTTATTCTTATTCTGTAGTGACCAAATCTGTGAGGAAAGAGGCAGGGATTAAGTAGATGTGCTGTGTGGGGATAGTATCTACTTCATCCTCCTGAGCTTTTTGTATGCTGAAGACATACTTATTTTAAATGTTGCAAACAAGGAGCGGATTGTAATCGCTTTTGCGGAATGAGGAATTCTGCTTTCTGTCAGCAAGGCATCGGACGTTATCCCAGAGTAGAGCCATCAAATGTGAAGGTGCTCCAGTGCAGGGATGTTGTCTTTTATGAGCAGTGGTGGCAAAAGAGAGGAGCAATAAGATGGAATCTGTAGTGTGGTACCTTGTCTTCTTGTAAAATTCTTTCCACAGCCACATAGTTTAGGAGTTTTAGATTAAATTGTCTCCTTTTCTGTATCAAACTGTGTGATATGAGACATTTATATCTGGGCAAGTTGCATTAGTGTTTGTTGTACAGTATACTTACCATCAACTGATAAATCAGGGGTTCCAGCATGTAGGTAAATTTTGAAGCACCATTATTTTCGTATCTCTACCACCACTAAGTCTGTGTCCGGTGTATCTTGGGAAGACTTGGTTGGAGATGTAGAGAAGGTGGAATGCCAGCAAAGAAACACTCATTAAAGTCAAACGTTGTGCTTATTCCTAGAATCACGGGCAATAGGAAATGTCAGGAAACAATCTGACTTAAAGAAAAACAAACAGGATGATGTCAAGCTTAAGGGTTGCACTATGTACAGCAATAAGCCTCAAAAGGAGTAAAAATTGTTACCCTAGTAATATAACATGCTGAAACTCATTATGAGAGTGAATCTTGACATGGAAGGAAAAGACGACCAGCTTTTGGAGACCCCCTGTGCTAAGCATTTTATGTACATCTTCAGTCTTTCAGGCAAGGAAAATAAAATTATATTTACTACCTTAGATAAAAAGAGCAGTGCTATAAGAAGGAAAAAAAGGAATGGGACCTGTTAATCATCTACATGTCTGTAATTTATTTGACTTTCTAATTTTTTTATAGAAGTTTGTCTAAAACTATTCCAGGAAAGAAGAATATTCGAACAGTCTTAAGCCATCCCGAGGAGGAAATTCTGTAGTTCTCTTTGTTAATTTAGTGGCTCAAAGTAACTTAATTTAGTAGTAGAGATATATGTCAGTTTCTTTTAAAGTATCATTTCCTGAAAATAATAAATGTCTACTTAAAATGTAGAACTTCATACTTGGTCATTAACAATAATTGTTAGGATATCTTTTTCTGATGGAGTTTTATTTCAGAAATAAATTTTCTTTTCAGAAATAAACTATAAAACTTATGTAAGACCTTTAATTTCGAAAAAAAAATAAGTCAGGTAAAATCAACCAGAAGCTTATGCGATATGAGTTTTTTTCTTATTCACTATTTTTAAATAATAATTACAACAGTAACTCCTGTGTAACATGATATAACATGCTATGGGTATTGCTAGGTAATCAGTCGCTGTTGATTGAGTGAAAACAGAGAATATGTTACAATATATTTCTCAACTTGTGGCTGAATTCTCTAAATCTTTTAGGTTTTGGCTTTTGCTATTCATACTCCATCTTTCAAAAATGAATATTTCAACCTGAGTAATTGGAATAGAACATTTCTCCTTTTTGTGTCTTTTTCATTTATTATAGTTCATGAGGATGAGGCAATGCTTATGTTAAAAAAGTATTTAACAAATACATCATTTAGGATCATTTTGGAGAGCCTGGGTGGCTCAGTCAGTTGAGTGTCCAGCTTCAGCTCAGGTCATGATCTCGTGGTTCATGAGTATTGAGCTCTGTGTTGGGCTCTGTGCTGACAGCTCAGAGCCTGGAGCCTGCTTCAGATTCTGTGTCTCCCTCTCTCTTTGCTCCTCCCCCACTCGTGCTCTGTCTCTCTCTATCTCTCAAAAATAAATAAACATTAAAAAAATTATTTAGGATCATTTTTGTACCTTAAACAACACTGTTTCTGCTCAACTCTCTTCATATGTTTTTAGTGCCTGCCTACAAACCTGTCAGTTTTTATTTCTATACGTAGAAGGAATCTGTATCACCTAGCAATTTTCTTTTTTTTTTTTTTTTTTTAATTTTTTTTTTCAACATTTATTTATTTTTGGGACAGAGAGAGACACAGCATGAACGGGGGAGGGGTAGAGAGAGAGGGAGACACAGAATCGGAAACAGGCTCCAGGCTCTGAGCCATCAGCCCAGAGCCCGACGCGGGGCTCGAACCCACGGACCGCGAGATCGTGACCTGGCTGAAGTCGGACGCTTAACCGACTGTGCCACCCAGGCGCCCCACCTAGCAATTTTCTAACAATTCCTAGAGTCTTTAAGAGCATGTAGAGGTTTCACGGCTTCATAAGCTGGTTTTCCACTAGGTACAGGAATTAAAGTACAGTATGGGATGATTAGTGGAAACCCAGATGGGTGTTCGATTGGTTCAGTTCTGCAAAACATGACTGGAACTGTCAGGTGTCTTCCAAAATCCAAATGAAACATATCTTTGATATCTTCCTGACAAGCACCCCATAACCTTAATTTTATCATTTTTAAAAATTTTTATTTTTATTGAGATTCAGTCGACATATGACGTGTGTGTATTTAAGGTGTACAGTGTGTTGTGGCACATGGGTGGCTCAGTTGGTTGAGTGTCTGGCTCTTGATTTTGGCTCAGGTCATGATCTCAGGAATTGAGTCCACGTCAGGCTGTGCACTGACAGTGTGGAGCTTGCTTGGGATTCTCTCTCGCTGTCTCTCTGCTCCTCCCCCACTTGTACTTGTGCTCTCTCTCAAAATAAACCAAAACAAAAAAATTAAGGTGTAAGATGTGTTGATTTGATATATTTGT